TTGCAAGATAATCAGGATTTTCGAACCACCAACACTCTCCTGTGTCATGGAAGTGGAGTTACTGAATCAGTCTGGCAACAAACGGGCCGTGCTCAAAGTTTTTGACCGACGATTTGCGTCTCAACTCCGATCTGATTACAAGGTCGGCCCGTCAACTGTTGCTAAAGAGACGGCGTTTTTTGAATGTGTTAAGAGTGGTGATGCTTCAAAGTTCGTAGATCGACTGAGAAACGATGAGGACTTTGAGGAACCCGAGGAAGGCTGGGACATGGGGCAAAACGAAGCTTATCTTTACGATCTATGTCTTGATATGTATGAAGCCGAGACGACGGTGTATCGAAAACTGGAACACTTGCAGGGTAAAGAGATCCCACAACTATTAGCACAAGTCAAATTGCAAGCAACCACGGCAGCAGATGAAGCTCCAGATAATGCTATCGATTTTTTTCAGATTAAAGGTATTCTGATAGAGCTCATCGATGGGTATACATTATCAGATTTGCCAACAAAGGCACCAAGGGAGTCTTGGGGAGAGATTTGCCACGAGGCAGTGCGAGTTGTACGGCTTCTTGACGACCATTCGATCCTGAACGAGGACGTGAGGCCTTCAAACATCATGATCACGAGGCAACCTACGCAGGATAAGTATCGTGTTGTCATGCTGGACTTCGCGCAGTGCACCTTCCGAGAACCCGAGGAGACGGACAAACAGTGGGGCAGGAAAAAATGGAACCAAGACGAGGAGGGTGCAATTGGACTGGTCATGAGACATAGATTGAAGAAGCTTGACTATGATTTTCCGTTCGAGCATTCCAATCATTTTTTGGAGTGGGCAGAGACAGAGTTTCCATCAGAAGACGAGGATGAGGGCCATTCAACTTCAAAGTAGCTGTTAGCACCCCTACCAGAATATCATTTATGATGTGAATCTTGCGCAGGACGAGAATGGGCTTGGATTGGTCAACCAGGGTTTAATGTTCAGAATAGAGTGGGAATTTTTGGCTTCGTTGCTCAACTTAAAAATGGGCAAGCAGGACTCAACGTTCAAGCTTAGATGGAACAAATCAACGTGAATTTTCAAGATTCATCAAAATTCAAAATATTGAAAAAAATTAAAAAATAATAATATAGGTGTGTTTGAAAGCCTGGTAGAAAATCAATGTTTCAAGGGTTTTTCGGCAGTCTTGATATGCCTAGATGAGTTATATTTTTGTTCTCCTCGATGGTAAGCTATATGTTCTGGGGTGCACTGGACAATTTTTATCATATCAGAATCCCTTCCCCTTCTCTCTCTTTCTATCACTCACTTTAATCATCTTCTTTGTTTGACTGGGGGTAAGGGATCGGGACCCTAAACCCCACCCTCCCAGCATCAAAAATTCCCCAAAACAAGTGATTTTACATCATTATATGAAACCGATGGGACAGTGTGTTGCTATACCCTCAGTATGATACAAATACAATGGCCTAATCGCAAACACATAGCCTCTCATGGCACACAAATGCAAGAACCTCGGCAATATGAGTCTCGCGCCGGCTCTACAACACACAAGTGACTTTTCCAGTTATACACAGAGGACTTTTAAGTTCAAGTCACACCTATCTCATATGCCATTTCGTCATAGTACATCTATTACTAAGATTTGTGGTGGTAAAAGGAGACATATATTCTAGTATCTATCGTATACGTTGCTTTAGAGCCCACTTTTCCAACTGCCGTAATAACAGCGCCCAAGGGTATACCATAAAAACTCAACAAACCCAGAATCTACTTAACCGCATTTAGTCTAATATAAACACCTCATTTCACAAACTAAATCAATTTGTAAATAAGAAATATTTTTTTGAAGAATTTTAATAAATTATTATTAAATTAATAATCAATATTTTATTTTCAAATTGAAAATCTAATTAATAATTAATAATAGAAAAAAATCAAAATCAATTTTTTTCTTAATTTCTAATTTTGAAAAATAATTCATATACTTTAGACATATAAATGATTAGAAAAAGTAAAAAAAATATCAGATTTCAATAAATCCGGCTAGGGAGATCGATAATATACTAAGCTAAATGCAATTAAGTAGATTCTGGGTTTGTCGAGTTTTTACGGTAGATCATAACATGTTATCATGTGACACAATTAAACTATATGGTTCACCAGTTCAACATTTGGGGGGTACACATGATATTATCCGGAATGCCAAGAACTCCTCTGAGAGCCTCGGCATAATGGTTTCTTTCTCAAGCCTCAAACATTAGGAACTCTCCATACGTAACTAGTTCCATAAATTCAAGAGCCCAACTGTGTGAATCTTCCAGAGGAGGGGTTAGTACTTCAGTCGCAAAGTACACAGAGCTGAATTTGCCATTTGAACGTATAAAAGTTACCGTTAGGATATTCCAGTGAGACAAAGATACTTAATGATAAATTCAACATGATATGATCAATCAAATCGAATAATCCGGACTTTTTGTGATGTCACTAGCATATCACGTGTTTGAGAGCTACATCACACCAAGTGGCGTGATCTTCACTCCTTAGCAACTTGCTAAAATTTAAAGTGATACAGCCCTAAACAAACGGGCATCTAAGTCCACTCGGTGAAAGAAAGAGAACCCGGCTTTACCGAGACCAAATAAGCCGATCTTGTATACCGAATATGAAGCAAAACAAGGAAAAAATATTCGAATCAGCAAAAAGCCGTCCAGGTAGACGTGAAGCTACAAATGAGGGATTTTCCAAGCATTACTAGATTCAAGGATACCAGTATTCGGACTGTTATACGGATATATACGCCTCTCAAGACAGAGTAGCTTTAGATGCTTAGTTTACTGAAGTCGTAATTACTTGATTATGCGTTGCCGGTATACAGTATGTGGGAATAGGATCCAATCGGACGATTCAACTGGAATATGGATTATAACTTTATGTTCTACGAGCTTTCAAAATGAAAAACATACTCCGATTAATTTGCACCGGACTGGATTGCAAATGTAGGGGCACGGGAAGACGCGTAAGGAGTTTTGCGTTTGTCACCGGATTAGTCGAGAATCTCGATGGAAATGGCTTTTTTATGGTAAGATATGGATTACCAGCCTTGAAAACCGTGACACGTCATTAAATCAGAACCAAGCCAAGAGAAAAAATGAGTTCGGGTATCACAGCAGTTATTACCCCGCCATATAGAGACATGTGACTCATTGTGTATGTTACATCCTTTCGTTTGTCTATATTGAAGGCCCCGGTAAAGCCTTACTTTGTTATACCACACCGCCTGTCACGACAAATCTTTGAGCAAATTTGAGATGAGGATTTTGAGTTCACGGAACATAGCATCAGGCATATGTATTGAATTCCTAAAGTAGTCACCTCCTCGCGTTTCACAACAAATCTTCAAATTATTCGCGGTATTTTTGCCTCGTGTGGTTACACGAGATACGTGGGCCCGTACTGTACAATGTTACACCATCCAAAAGGTTAAAGTGCATCCTTCTTGTGTAAGGAGGAAAGTGCCGTGGCTACAAACGGCACTCAAAGGCTCAGCGAAAAGTACATCAGACCTTAGTTTTATATAATCCCCTTCATTACCCAAGGGTTTTTTTCCCTTCTTCAATTATCTTTACTGTTCACGCAAGGAATGCTACACCAATCTTCCATCATTCGCGGGTCATTGTTGACCCCCAAAAGTCACATTGTCTCTCAGTCTTTACCTTTGACAACAACCGCAGTCTCATACTCGCATTGAGAACCTCAATTTACCTTTCCATATCCAGTCAGCATGTTTAATCCAAATTCGTTTTTCATAGAACATTCTCTCATCCTGTGGAAGATCAACAACTTGAGGGGAGTTATGAAGTAGAAGCCATGCAGTTTGTCATTCCTCACCTTGTGCTTTGAGATCCAAGACTAACCTTGTTAACAGGCACTACTAGCAGTAAAAAGGCTAGTTCTTCTATGAGTCGCGTGTGAGGTGCTGGCTATCTTCCACTTCACACAATTTTGTCCAAAGGAGGCTCAGTGAAGATTCTGACCCGGAACGTCCTGCCGAGACCTCTGCCAATCGTGGCTGGCACCTTCTCTCAGAACCACATCAATTCCTCCTAGGTGGAGCACCGGAAGATGCCATTCTTTTGTCGTTCTAGAAGAAATTACCAGAGCGGTTCAAACTCTTCACCACGCTTCAGGATACCGTTAGTTAAGAGCTCGATCTCGAGACATCGCATTTCCGAGCACGGTTTTCATCGTTTTGAAAGACTGGCAGAAATTTTTTCCGGGGCTACGACGCTCGATAAATTGTACTCCGGGTTAATATCGTGGAGCTTCAGCCTCATTGTGGTAGGTCTAGTGTGACGATAGACAATTTGGAAGTAAGTGTTATTTTTATTCCTTCTTCAATGATGACCAATTCTTAAGCCCGTATACTAACTTATTAATAGTCATCTACCAAGTGGATTCCTTAGTCACCAATTCTCCTCATGGAAATTTCTTGTGACTATGTCCACTACGATCCGAGAGTCTCATGGAGAGTCACGTCTTGCAAAGCTTGGCAAGGTGGAGATGTTTAGACCAGTGGTCTATGACACCCCTATAGTCGTTTCAATAGACACTATTCCTCCAAATATTTCGATCTAAATTACGCCCTGTCATTATGAGGCACTCCTGCCCGAATGGAACCTTATATCACAAGTCGACCTTTTCTCGGGTGCTTTCTACGACATCTACTGTGATGGGTTGCTTTTTCAATTAAACCCCCATGGCAACAGCGGGCGAGCAAGATGTACCGTTCGAGTTTCGAAACCAGCGACCTCATCCGCCAATATCATACAGTATTCATTGAACATGGGATTTTATGGTACGGTTCATGACCTTCCGAATGTTGCGAGAGACATTTTCGAACAAAGTAATCATACTTTTACATACCGTTCGTCTAATGCACGAATGCACGGGGGAAGCGATTTCTGGTGAGATGACCGATTTGAATCTTGACCGCAACAACATGGCCAATCTACTTCCCTATTCTTACACAGCAATGTCCCACATTACTTCTACAAATCCTCAGTCCTCGAACTGCCCTGCTGTCACTACAAATGTCACCCATAAGCAGCGGCCAAGGCTCCAACTCATGTTTCCAAACGACTACACACTCCCAACCGCGATATCTGGAGACCAACCTTGTGGCATAGCCATTCTATAGAGTGGAGCATACGTCATTCATTCACCAGCCCATATATCCTGCAACAACTTTCCTCACCGAACAAGGAACTCTTCGCAAATAGATTCCATCGCAAATTTTATTCTTCAATCGAAGACCACAGCTACATCTATGGATATACCCTCTATTTAACCTCCGCATTGGACTTGAGAGCAAGTCAACGAGGAACGTCAATCATATACAGACATCATCACTTGGGACACTTTATGTTCCTCGGCATTAGCCTGCTATAATATCGGCGGGATTCTATCAGAATGACTGACAATATGTCTATTGAAGGTGCCCGAAAAGATACTGGACGAGCCGAAAAGGCTTTCGTTTGGATCAAGGAGATCTTGAAGATGATCATCCTGATAAATGATGTGATACAGATCACATACAGACGTCATCACTTAGGACACATTATGTCCATTGGTATTAACCTGCTATATTATCGGCGGGATTCTATCGAAAGCATTCAGAAAGCTTGTCGCCAAAACATGCTTCGGGGCCGAAGATATTGAATGAGCATCTTGAAGGCGACCAACATGCCGACGGCCTACTTTTTCAGCTGAACCTGCAAGGCAACTATGGTGCCAGATTTACAATTCGTCTATCTAAACCGACGACTTCTATAGAGCTGGCCAATTACACCACTACCACACCATTCAGCGTGGCTTGGCCAATGTTCTCGCGCTCCAATTCGTCGAGCAAGATGGACTTGCTGCTATTCCCACCGCCGAGATTGAGGTTGATGGCTTGGGGACTATCACGCTTCCACAGTCTATGCAGAAAATTGGAACGCTCGTGCCGGTCAGCTGGCCGAACCCTACTAATCCGACGGCTCATCCCGATGGAGTCCCAATGCATCCCGAATTCTCCAAACTGCTTTACAGACCGCAGCAAAGGTTTGGTGATTCTACAAGTGAAAAGGCCATTGTACCTTATATTGTCTCGGAGCCGGAGGAGCTAAGATAATGTATCTCGATAATGATCTGCACGATATCCCTTAAGTTGAGGAAAATCCTTCGAACTGCATGGAGACAAAACCTAGAAAAGACAAAATCAAGTTATCTATTCTTGCGTACCATTTACAAGTCCAAGCTCATTTTCGATAACGCATGCTGCAATATGTCCGACTTTGTCATAGACATACATGGCAAAATGGATGCATACCGCAGTATAGTTAGGCATGCAGGGAACGGGGAACGAGCGACGACGGTATATATATCGAGGATCGGGAACAGGTTGGGGGAAAGACGGACAAGTTTTGTCGACTTCATTCTTTACAATCTGATTTGGGTGGGGCTTCAGCAGATAGGTCGATATATAGGCATACATATGTCTGTTGTTTTTAGTGGGAAAGAAGGGGAAGAGGTTTAAGAGTGGGTTCGGAAATGGATTTGGAAAATGGAGTCAATCTTGAAGGCGGGGTGGCGAGGAAATCAAGGGGGACAAACAGCACCAATCAATCTGCATACATATCGTCAAGTCACTAGACTACCACGCAACCAAAACATCCATCAAGGAATTCTTAGCTGGAAAGAATTTTCTCATTACTAAGAGTGGGAAAAAATCCCAAAGAAACGAGAGGATCTATATATACATCGCACGTCACGATCTCTTGGCACCATTCAAGACTATTTGGAGGGATAGTCTTCAGCCTTTCATACACTCAACTGATCGATCTTCTTCGGTTCGTTACAGTGGATAACCGTCTACAGCCAGAAATAACATTCCAAGATTGCTGCAAAAATTGGCTATCAAAGACGGATTTGATTACCAACTTCGAACTACCTTTAAAGGAAGGATAGGACGAAGCTGTTCACAAACTACATCACTCAATAAGGACAGCTCTAGAACCTCTCACTCGAAATCAAAGGTTGTTCGCCGAATTATCGACACACCTTCATGGGATTCTATTATGGGTGAGTCAAGAAGGAAGATATACAAGAGGGAAGCTCAGCCTTTCCATCTTCATACACTCAACTGATCGATTGGATCTCGCCTCTCCACCTGTTTGGGTAGCTTCCATCTAGTCCTAAACACAAAAAAAAACATCTTTTACCTCGAATCAACAATAACAAAGACCCCAACCTTTATAGAATTGGCCGCGCGACAAATTTGGGACCCTAAGCCGGGAACAATCCATTGTCGAGATTTGGTCAATTATGCAAAAGATGGCATTTATGCCAAGGATTTAATCTCAGATTACGTCCAAGGCGTTCTTATCTTGGCAAAGGAAACCAAGACTGTGCTTGTTTGGGAGGCAGGGCTCTTTCAATGGCCGTTTGTTAGGGGAATGAAAGTTCGAAAGGGCATCCCACATTTAGGCCACCCATTCACAGATCCCGATGGCAAAATAATGCGATATGATGGTCGTTTATTGTATGGCAATAGGGGTGACGCTATCGATACCGCGGAAAACATTTCATAATATACTTTTGGGTCGATTCAACAACACCCAAAATATGACTTGTGGTTGCGCGACCATCTTTTTGCAAAACGGGACAAGGGCGCAGTTGAATATTTGAATTCAAAGGGCTTCAATACAAAAAGTGGATGCGAACAATACATCAACGTAAATCGAAACATTTCACATCTTACGGAAGAAACCTCAATTATGATTTTCAACTCCAAAAGTACTTTGAAACAGCCACTACATGGATAAATGAATCCAAAGAAATACAACTTGCCCTCAAACATTTGCAAGAGAAAAAATGGACTGCTTTTTGCGAGCAAATTTGTACATTCGGAATCCGATCCAAAACCCTATCGACTCTTTCTTCCCCACACCCTCAATGAGATTCGTACTATTTGGCGTGAGTACACTGCCAATGGCATTAATCTTCAGGTTGGCAGACCAATGCATGAGTGTTGTTTTTATTGAGGAAGAGTCAAGGCCAAGAGAGTGTGTATCAAGGTCAATTACTACTGATCAGCGAACATTTTGAGGGTTCGTTTCTGTGCTTTACAAGTATATGGATCTCGGATTGGATATGGTTGGGTTGGAATGCGAAATGAAATCGGGGGGGAAAGATCATTATGAAGAGCAAGGCGATTGCCCGGAAGGGGCAAGAAAGGCTCGGATTGGTATTGAGGGGAATGAGGGGGAAACCATATCGGAGTGACATTGAGGGGATACAAGAGAGTTCCAATATTCTATCAAATAAAAAAAAACAAGAAAATTTAAAACCCATTTGCGTCTTTTTTGATTCCGTGAAACTTCGTTATGACGTGATTTCCAGAGTACTTGTGCGGATTTATTTGTTTTACTTATACAAATATCCATAGTACTATCTATATCTTAGCTAGAGTACTTCTGAGTTCTTTTGTTTTATTACATTTCATCATCTTCATCACTATCCCATGCAATACCTCCCGAGGTCTCCAAATTAGAAAATATACAAACTTCCAATCTTATATCAAACTCATCTCATCTCGACTCATCTCGACTCATACCTATAAATGTTTATCCTCTCCCTTTTCATCTTCATCTCCATCTTCATCTCTATCTTTATCTTTATTTCTATCCCTATCTCCATCCTATCTCATACTTCCTATTTAATTCCAAATGGCCAATTCCAAATAGTCAATCCCAAACCACCCACCACAGTGCCAGGGCCTCCGGCCCTCCCAGCCCCCCGCGGCTCTCTTTCGCAGTACGCCCCAGCAAGGCTCCAGTCATCTTTCAGCCTCCAGCCCTTGGCAAGCTAACCCCGTGATCCAACCTTTCATTAGATAGCTACCTATACAAGCCCCTCATCCCCTTCATGCCTCCAACTTCCAACTCCAAACAAGCCCATCCCCCACCACCTCCCTTCCCCCCGTTCCTCTTCTCCCATCCCCCTCCCTATCCCCAACCATTCCAACCATTCCAAACCATTCAACCATTCCACCATTCCAACCATTCAACCATTCCAACCATTCCAACGCCATTCCAAACCATTCCAAACATTCAACCATTCCAACCATTCCCAAACCATTTCAAATCACAACTCCCACCCTCCCATCTCCAATTGCCACCCCTTCCCCCATCATCATCATCATCCACCCCCAATCTACCCAATCTACCCCCCACCTACCCCTCCACCCTCACCACCCCCCTCTCAAAACCCAATATCCACATCCAATATCTTCCCAACACATAATCTATCAACCCCTCTTCCATATTCCATATAATCTAAAAGTTTCCAAACAATACCTCCCTACCCACCTAACTATCCATCCATCCATTCACCATAAATCTTCCATTCTAATCAATTCCTCAGACTTTAGACCTCAGACCTCAAAACCAGAACTAAACTCCACATACCTATCTACCCACCTACCCATCTAAACCGCTATAAAACCACTATAAAACAAAACAAAACAAAACCCAATCCCCAATCCCCAATCCCCAATCCCCAACCTCAATACCCCCACAGAGAAACAACAAAACCAACATAACACCATCCACCTCCTCCAATCCACCTCCTCCTATTCCTATCCACACCATCATATTCCCTACCCCTATCCCCATCGCTTAAAGTTCCAAGTCTCAAAAGCTCGGACAACAAAACCTAGGTATCCACATTATTACCGAGAAACTAACACAAGCACTAACACGAGCGCAAGCGCGAGCGCGCCTACATAATCCCTGTCCCACTCCAATCCCAGCCCGGTACTTGGGCCGGGCCGGGGTATCGTATCGTATCATATCACGTGCTGGAAATTCTTGGATAGAATAAGGTTACGAGAGGAGATGAGATGAGAGGAGAGGAAGTGCTTTCTACCTACCTACCTACCTACCTATATATATATATATCTACTCACCTACAATACAAAAGAACTCACCTGAACTCAACTCAACTCAACCATTCATACCAGACCCAAAAATCCGACTCATAAAATCCGAATCCGATATAAAGAAGATTTCCCCCCTCCCCCCCCAATTTTTTTTTCTTCAAATATTTTAATAAAATCCATATACTAATTAGATTTCCGCTTCAAGATTGAAATTTTTTATCCAAAAAAAAAATTATATAATAGTACCTAGGTAGTTAATTTGGCTTATTTAGTTACCTATCCTATATCTCCTATTAAAATTTATATCGGATTTGTAAAAAAAAAAAAAGCATTCGATATTATATTTCGGGTTTAGTTAAATTTCTAGGATTGTTATGTTAAATGTAGTTAGATGAGGAGATTATCAGGTACAATATACCTCTTCGAAATTACTCTTTGAAATTAAGCTTTTTGATTATCTTCATACTACTCATCTCTGCCCTCCCCCCTCTCTCACATCCCCCCTCCCCATTTCCTCCCTCCCCATTTCCTCCCTCCCCATTTCCTCCCTCCCCATTTCCTCCCTCCCCATTTCCTCCCTCCCCATTTCCTCCCTCCCCATTTCCTCCCTCCCCATTTCCTCCCTCTCCCTCTCCCTCCCCCATCTCCCTCTCCCTCCCTCCCCCATCCCAATCTCTCATTCCCACCCCTTTCAACACTATACACCCTATCTTCATGAATCCCTCATCCCAATCCCTCATCCCAATCTCTTATCCAACCATAACTCATCTCTTATCCAACCATAACTCATCTCTTATCCAACCATAACTCATCCCTTATTTCAATCCCTTACTCCCCCACCCCCATTCCAAAATAATTCAATCTTCATTCTTCATTCCTCAATCTTCACACTCCATACTTCTCCAATTTTAAATCCTCACATCATTTTACCTCATAATACCTTCTCTATCTTCCCCACCCTCTTCTCCCCCACCCGCTTCTCTCCTATCCTTTCCAGGATATCATTTCAACCGTTCATCTATATCATCCTATTTTATATTCTCAAAACACTCAAACGTCACCCCATCTACACTCACCCCCTCACCTATCATCCCAAATCTCGAATTCCCAAATTCCCAATACCAATCAAACAATTAAACTCCCATTACCTGACACATTCATTTTCAAACAAAACAATAAAATCTCCATTAAAATATTCATAATGAACAACATTGTATTGATATCGTATTTGCATGCTTGCAACGCTAAAACTACTTTTCACAACTATTTCTTCTATTTTCAACCCCACATGTCCTTCGGACCAATTTAAGTCTTAACATCTGGTTCGGTTCTACCGATATACTCCTTAAACTTCAACAACTCCACAGCGAAGTCTACATTATCCTTCAAGAATACTTGAGCATCTTGACCATAGGTACTCTTATCATCTGTATGTTTCTCAATATACAATCTGATAGTAGCACCCGAAGAACCGGTACCACTGAGACGAACAACGATTCGGGATCCATCAGAGAATTTAACGTAAAGACCTTGGTTGGGAGAAACGCTGCCATCGAGATCAGTGTAGGAGAAGTCACCGGCGTCAGAGACTGTACGGTCTGTGAGGTAATATGTGAGCTACTTTGTCATGACATCAAAAAACTGACAGAAAAAACTTACCACCAATCTTGCTACCAATGAATGAAGAATCTTCAATCTTGGCATTCAAATCCTTAACAACCTTTGCAGCACCCTCACTGCTAACATCCTCATAATCGTATCTGGTGAAGAAAGTACGTCCATAGATAGTCCAGAAATCATGTTGAATCTTGGCAATACTTGGAGTAACACTTGGATCCTTCTCACCAATAGCGGCGATAATGTTCAACCAAGCAACGACAGCCCAAAGACCATCCTTCTCACGGATATGGTTTGATCCAGTACCGAAAGATTCCTCACCACAGATGGAAAGTTTATCAGCATCGAACAAAGCACAGAAGAATTTCCATCCAGTAGGAACTTCATAGCAGTTAAGACCTTGTGCTTTGGCAACAAGATCAACAGCTCCAGAGGTTGGCATACTGCGGGCAAGACCGTAGACACCTTGTTTCTTGAAGTATGGGATAGATTGTGCATAGTGAGCAATGATTGCAAGACTGTCACCAGGGGAGACGAATGCATTAGCACCGTAAATCATGTTACGATCTCCATCTCCATCACTGGCAGCACCAAAGTGTATCTTTCCCTTATCAACAGCCTCAACAAGTGAGTGAGCGTAGGTCAAGTTAGGATCTGGGTGACCTCCATTGAAATCTGGTGAAGGAATACAGTTTTGTGTGCTAGAGCTTGGAAGACCTAATTCAGTCTCAAAGATAGCCTTTCCATAAGGACCAGTGACACCAGAGAGGGCATCGAAAAGAACCTTGAAATCGGTGTGCGTTTCGAAGAATTTCTTAATGAGAGGGAAATCAAAGATATCCTTCAACATCTCAACATAATCGGCACATGAATCGATAATCTCAACCTCCAATGAACCATATGTTTTTGTACCAATTGTAGCAATGTCGACCTCTGGGATATCGGCAATCTTGTATTCGGTAAGAGTTTTCGAAGCTTCAAAGATCTTGTTTGTAACTGATTCTGGAGCTGGTCCACCATTTGCGAGGTTGTATTTGATACCGAAATCATTCTTTGGACCTATTCAACAATCAAAATATTAGTCATGATCTCTCTTTTCTCTTTCCATCATCACTCGGATCCGTTCGACCCCATCATCCCAAACCCCCAAATGAAGAAAAATACTAAAACATACCTCCAGCATTGTGACTAGCAGTCAACAAGATACCACCAGTCGCCTTTCGCTTTCTGATAACATGCGACGCAGCAGGGGTACTCAAGATACCATTTTGACCAATCAACAACTTCTTCACACCGTATGCGGCACCGATCTTTGCAATCAATTGCACAACCTCCGGGTTCCAGTATCGTCCATCACCACCAATCACGAGGAAACTGTCCTTGACACCTTCGGGGATGGAGAGGAGGATAGAGGTGACGAAGGACTCGCTGTAGTGTTCTTGTTGAAAAACAACGACCTTTTTACGGAGACCAGAACTGTGTAATCAGGATATTAGCAAACTGGACTGGATTGAAATCAAGTAAAATGAACTTTGATATTCGACTTTTGTATAGTCTTCAGTAGTAACCAATATTCCCGTCCATCTCGACCAAGTGGAACATTCAATCGGACAGAAGAGAGAAGAGGAGAGGTGGGGTGGGGTTCAAGCTCCCCCAAACAAGTAACTTACGTTCCTGGCTTCTGATCGGTAAAAGGTTTCAAAGAAACAGTCTTGACACTCATGATTTCTGATGCGATGTAATTCGACGTAAAGGATGAGGTTGAGAAAGAAGAGTAGAGGTTATGGTATGAGAATTAAAAAGGGGGCAAGGAGTTTTTGATGCCAACAAGACAAGCTCAACCAGCGGTGTTGATATTAGCTCCTGGGTGGAGAAGTTCGTTTGGTGGGGCATTCGTTGAGAGGAACTTGCACAATGTGTCAGTAACTGGGTATGGATGTCCTGGGTAGGGATGCATACCTGGTATGAATGGATTTGATGACCCCACTCTTCGTGATGGGATGAGGGGTGAAGATCTCAGATGATGGATGGATGGATGGATTACCTCATCCATACCTAGGTACTCTTAATACGTCGTAGCTGGTTATAGGAACTACGTATTTTTTGATATTGCCATATATACATATTTGATATTAGCCTATTCTATCTAATTCCTAACGTTGTCAAAATCTTGATTTATCATGATTTTACGAGTATGATTCTTTAATACGAGAAGCTACGATAGAAAGGTGATGGAATGATTTATCAGATATTATGTAACGTTGATTATTAATAAATATATTTTGGTGTACCTAGTACTAGGTAGGTAGGTAGTTATAAATCCCATCCACTGTCCACCATAATAAATATCAAAAGGGTCGTAGCAAGTATCTAATATCCATGCTTATCCAAATTCGAAATAGCTTTCAGCCTCATATTATAAACTAGGTACCTATCGGACAGCCCCTTAAGCTTAGTCTTAATTATTAGGAACTTAATCTCGTTCCGGTTTAGATTATGTAAGATTGAAAATGTACTGTTACACCATACAGATTCGAATATTCTCATCCAAATTCAATAACCATATAATCCCGACGTCTCTCAAGCGTCCATGACAAATCCTGATATATGTATGCCACTGTCCCCATCCAAGGTTATCGGGTGCTTTTCTACATAAGGTTGCCGTTGCAGGTGGTATGTAACCAGTTCCTTTCAACACCGCATGGATAATTCCTATTTTCTACTTAAGTACACTCGTATTATTGATGTTGACGATCAATCAACCAGCTTCACCAATTTTCCCGTCATCCTCATAACGTAGCAATGCAGCCCTCCATTCTCTTCATTGGGAGTATCAATCTGCACAAATGTACTTACAACAAAGCATCAACATGATCATCCCACTCATCAATGCCACGAAAGCATCTGTTCATGTTCATGCCTAACGAAATCAGAAATTCCGCATATGAAAACTAATTCTACCAAGCCCTCACTTCGAAACCGGTACTGGTTGAAAAACTCTCTCCTTCCAATATCTTGCCTCCTCAATACTCTCCAGAATATCCTCTCTCCCTCGATGTTTTCCCTGTTTCTTTGGCTGATCCACCAAGACTCCTAAATCGCACCAACGCTTGGCAGCTTCTTTGATACTGCTCACGTCCAAGATTCGATAATGTAGATGCTCGATTATTTGTTTGTAAGGTCCTTTGCTCAAGAATACTTTATCGGCATGAACACTATTTCCAGCGAGTAATCCGCGACGGGGTTCGGGAACCCATGATTTGATGTATTTGAGAAGAGACTCGGCAGCTTCGGTGGGAGTGGTGGTGGAGGAGAGAACTTCAGAGGTCAAGCCAGTGGAGGCGTGGGTTGTGGTACACCATTCATCCTATAGGTTGAGAGATTGTAAGTATGGATGTGAGACCTTTGATGAATGAATGTGAAAATATTTAGAGAGGAGAAGAGAGGTACAAACCATTTTATCCATCGTCTCTTGCTCCTGATGAATCACAGCATTCCACCCCTTCTCGTCCATCACCTCCAAATTTCCATTCGTAATTACACACGAGATTTCAATAATGACATCGTTTTCAACATCCAGTCCTGTCATCTATGATATGCCATTGTCAGCTTGCAATCTTGAGGACATTATATCCCTCAAATTCTAATCCAACGCGTACATTGGAGTCGAGACATAATCTGATCAACAGATAAACAATAGAGGGGTAATAGTAAAGAAATAACATACCTCACAATCAATCCAAACCAATGGATGACTGGTGCTTACTTCCTCCATCTTATGAATAGGTAGGTACTCACTTGTATTCCTGATCAGAATCCGAATCCGAATCCAAACTCAATGATCAAGAATCACAAAGATACAGAGAGTACTCGAAGTGAATGTAGACAATGATATCAATCCAATCGAATAAAAATAAAATAAATCCAAAATTCTCACATGGTACCTGCTCTAATCTCATCCCATGGTGAAAATCCTCATAGGTAACCCCGCTATAAACCGCTTAATTGTGTTGATAGGACGAATAAATATATTGATTGATTGTTTACTAAGTATTACATACAGTACCTAGTATATTCATACCCTCCAGGTCCTCAATTCTAGATGTGCAACACAATTTTTCAAGGTCATGTGAGCTTACTCATCTAAGCGTGTCAGAGTGTTAGTGTTTGAGCCGAAGTCTATCCGAGATTTCACAATATTTCTGATGTGCAACACAATTTGCTGGTTATGATGGTCACACGAATTGGATATTTTGCTCAATTCGATTTGCTGAATGGAAGTTCAATTCTGTCGGCCATTCTTGACCTCATTTGGCTCGAATCCAAATCAGGATCGATGGAATATTCATATTCAGACATACAACGAATCCAGTTCCATCACATAGACGCACACCCACACAAATCGATACCACTTGTTAGCTCATATCATTTATCCTCTTCCTAGTTTCCCGATTTCTAATTAAAAGATGTGGGTATGCTCCATTGGATACCCGGAATACATGAGTATCATCATCTACTCATCCTCACCAGCTCAAATCAATCGATACGAAGTTCACGATCATGCAACCTTCGGACATCAAGTACAGTTTTGACTATATTGTATTACTATGGTGAGTGGTATGTATTATATAATCGCAAGGCTCTAAATCTGATGAGCTCTGGAGCGTTAGTGAAAGCCTCTCGTGTAGCGACGAAACCCGGACTTTCAACCATTGCAGCAATAACGCAGCTGAATCATTTCTTGGATGGCTCTGGTGGGTCAAAGTCAAACCCAGTATCCAGTATTGCAACCTCTCTCACCTGGATCAACACAGCTTGAAGTGAGCCCAAGACTTGATTAACTTGTGCTGCTCGCGCTGTGCTTGTTGGACCATCCAGTACAGCGTTCCAGGCGTCCCTCATCGCTCCTATGCGCCTTTCGATCCATGTTTGTACCCCCTCAAGTCTCGGCCACAATACATAGTAGACAAATTCAGAGAACATTGCAGCTGTGTTGATCCGATTCTCGGCTGCCAGATGAAGGTTGGCCTGCTGGTCAAAAGCTGCGAATGTAGCGTATATCGAATTCATTGTTTGGACCAGATTTCCATGAATGATTTCGTTGTTCAAATAGGAGAACAGCGAAGTCGCCGCGCGGATGGTGGAAATGCCGTCTTGAGCTGAGAAGCTACCCGTCAACTCGCTTGTTTCATCGTAATCATTTGCATCCCATGTGGCGTCGGCCATAGGAGAGTTGCCCTGCCAAACCTGTAATTTGATTCCATTGAAGACAGATTCGGTGTTGACAAGCACACCGGGGTTGGTGTCATCACCAAAAGCTCTCCATATATCGTCAATCGGTGTGCTTGCAGATTGCAGAGTGGACCACGTATTCCAGGGCAACTGGAAGGGCCCATCAGGAGCCAGCAACGGCTGATCAACTGATGCATAACCTGATGTCAAAACCCGATTCTGGAGACCTCTAGTTGTGGTACCCAACATCCATTCCAAAAACATTTTGAAGGTACCTAACTCCACAATATGCTCAGTAACCCATTTCGCTCCGTTTGGGTCTCCAGCAGATGTAAACGATATGTCCTCGCAATCTTCAGGATTGGCCAACCAAAATCGGCCTGCGTTCGGATTGACGCTCAGGAGATATGCGCCTCCTTGTCGGTTGGGATATTTGTGAGATGTTATTATAAAGGAATTTCCAGTGGGTCCTTTGACAGTGAAATTCCTTGGAGCGCCAAAAGGTCGGGGTAAGAGAAAATGTTCCTTTGGAAGTGGCGAGACTGAATGGTTAATATCTCGTTTCCGTCTCCTCTCATTTGCAATAGAATCACCTGTTTCAGGGTCGATGAGCCAATCTGGGTCGAAACCGGACATGTTACTAGTTTGACGGCAGACAAGCTTAGTAGAGCTGTTTCCGGAACATCCGACATAATCGCCAGTAATCACAGCATTTGACCCCCAATTAGGCGCAGTGCGTAAAGGTGCATCATTCGAAGTACCATTCGTGAAAACGTATGGCGAACCAACTGATCCCACCAGGTGACTAGTATCATCTTGCTCCCACTTTGATGAGATTCCAGATGAATAAACCTCAACACCAACCTGCTGATCACCACCAATGACACTGATAGTGTTGCCGCTGTCACTGACAATGCGGATATAATGCGGCACATCTACTATGAATTCTGCAGTAGCCCCTTTGGCACTGGTGCCCATATTGTACACATCTATTTCTAGCCATGTCCGCATTGCAAGGAGCAATCCGAGAAGGGTAACACTGGAGCTAGAGTCCCTCTCGCTCAATCTCTGACCTGTGGATGCTGGTGAGCCACCGGCAAATCCGGTCCAACATTCGGGCCCCACAACATTCTCAACATCACCAGAAAGGTCGCCCAAGGATAAAGGTGCATTTGTTCGAGCATATCCATCGGTCCCAGCCCTGAAACTTAGTCTAAAGTCCGAATCAATGGTTCCCTGCCCTGTCATACTTGCTAAAATGTTCATTTTAGGAGTAAAGGAAACAATTCCTGGTTCACTGAATGCGAAATTGGAGATATCAGTATCGAAAACTGATGCTGGCTTTGTGCTACCGCCAACGTTGATTGATGCCTTTCCATCAAGCATGATGGTGCCTGACATATCCATGTCAACGTCGAAAAACCCATAAGTTTCTTCGAAGCTGATCTCAGGGGAAATTGTCCCTACCATGGTCACTCCCCATCTGAGTTTACTCGCAACTATGAAGGTGTCAGTGAGCGAAGTGGGTCAAATGGAACCATGCGAATGGTTAATCAAGTAGTCTGACTAGCAGAGACAACTTTCATACCCATATTCTGCGCTTAGTCGCACCAGGGAATCATAAATTCTATGAAAAATAAAATGACTAACCGGAGCCCTCTAATTCGATATTAAGCCATCCGTCGTCCTCACCACAGCTATCCTTCACGTCTCCAGAGTATAACAGCTGATAAATATCGTTTTCTTCCAAATTTAGCGTATACGCATTGGGCAGACCGAGATTACGAATCGCATCGAACTCAGTCTTCCAATCTGCCGCGTCGGCACTCCAGAATCGCTTGTTTACGGACTCGTTCATACCTCTCTTTGTGATTGCATCTGCCAAAACAATATCATTCCAATATCCTACGGTATCACCATAGTCGATTCGAACATAAACTGTTCCGGAATCCCGTTTGACAAGTGTGTAATCATAGGTAATATCCATTTCGTACACGGGAGGATTGGGCGACGGAGTTCTTTGTCGAAGTTCATGCTCAACTGTCAGGTTATTCGATAATCTGATAGCCCTAACGACACCATATGTTCCAAAACCACAACCCTCAGGAAGCTTGACAATGGTACCCTCTGCCCCGCCTTGGTGGACCGCGTCGCAATTAGATTCGGTAGAATCATTCATACAAACATAACGTACTGTATAAGTTGACTTGGGATCTCGTTTCTCGGTGGGCTCACAATCTAAAAACTCGATATGCGAATCGTCTCTCTTAGAGAGACTGGTTACTACATCAGCGGGTCCATCAATCACAACCACTACAAAGTCAGATGTTAGTGAACCATTCTTCAAAATTAAGTCTGACATAGAACACCAAAAACATGTCGGCGATTATTTTGCTCTCAGTCTGGTACCGTTCTTGGAAGTAGTCTTTTTAGAGCGATAATTAGCGGACATGAAATTTGCTTACTGCCAAATGCCCCGGAGACTGTATCCGAACCCGAGGATGTAGGCGAATTTTGAATGGGCTTGATTTCAAAATCCGGAATATCTGTAGTGGGTGGTAAAGTGGGAAACTTGAATCGCGTTAGTTTCTGTGGAGTAAATTTCTTTCAATGTCTCGTAAAAGGCAAGGGGGGAAAACAAAGAGTCTCACAATATTTGCGAGTGGAACCGGTAGGAACGGGTTGAGACTATTCGGCGGTGTACAGCACAGAACTTTGCTTCGACCATTCCAGCCGCTGGCACATAACGACATCGAGTTTCCATAATCGTCAGTGCATAGTTCTATCTCATAGCTTTTTTCGTCAGAGTGGATCATTCGTGGAAGGCTAGACTGGGAAATAACTTACTCGGCACATTCGTTGTCATCGCAATTCCCTTTGCCAATCCAATGGCAATCGTCAAAGCCAGAATCACAGCAATAAGCTTGTTGGATAGTGCGATATCCACTGTAATCAATATCGTGCCCATAATCATATGTGTTTCTCATGGCGACCCATGTTTTTCCCTCAGCACAGGTGTCATCCGCAGACCAGTCACAAGAGCCAACCAACTCGCTCCAAGTGTTGGATTGGCAACAGAAAGATTGCTGACCGGGTGATAAACAGTTAACAGTGGCATGTTTGGAGTAAAAGAGGGTGACTTCGTTTGTGTGGCATTGACCATGACAGGCACGACCTGTCTCACCACCCCTCCATTGACAAGTACTAGGCATAGCATCAATAGGGCAGATGATGTATTTCTTCTTATTTTTGCCACAAGTATCAGTAAAAGCACCCCCATTGGGCGCAATTGCGAAGTCACTTCCCCAGGATCCAACTTCCGAGTCACTGAGGCAGTCAGTTTCCTGACAATCTTGACCGTTCTGGCTTGCCCAACTGCCTGCAACCGAAGTAGATGCGGTCTCGAGTTTAGACAATTTGGGGATGTCTTCGCCAATGAGACCTTTGAGCGCATCGAAATCAGTATCATCTTGGTCAACAGACCAGATCATCACTCCACCCAGCCTATTACTGTGTTAGAAACCAGTAAAACGATGGCTTGATGGGCGACGGATCAACTTACCCAACGCTGTTGGCCCATTTTACCTTTTGCGCAAACGTATCGCTATCATCGTAGCTTACCCACTGGTTCTTCGTGGCACCATACTGGAAATACTTTACAGCATCGGTCTTATCCCAAGTAATCTCCGGGGTTTGTTTATCTATAATATCCATGATTTCAAAGTATGCAAGCGTTCCTGCACTCTTAGTGCATATTCCTGCTTCAGCGGCACCGGAGAATGCACAGCCTGGAGATCCACAAGATGTGTCCGACAGTTGGAATGAACGGCCATAGAAACCTAGACCTAGAACAACTTTTTCTGGAGGGATGTTAACTCGCCACAGAAGCTCGACTGAGTCTTTGATTTCGGTAAGGTTTGTGTGGGCTTGTACTATACTTCCAATTGGGTCCGTTGAATCCCAAGTCCTATGCAAGTCATATGCTGATTCTGCGTCAGTCATAATCTATAAGATTTTAAGATGCCACCGAAAGAAAGTCTTACTCATTAAATTAATCTAATCAGCATATAATATCATTCCTGGTAGATCAAACCATTGTAGATACCAGTATGAGCTTGGTGCCGTGAAGCTGATTCCGTATGAACCATCAGAATTATCAAAAGCTTCACGCACAGCTTCCAATAAAAAAACATAGTTTTCCGTATCCTCTACTTTACCGCCTCTGTCGGGAGCGCCAGGGTATTCCCAATCGAAGTCGACTGGAGTAATGTGAGTCAGTCCTGGTATTTCAAAATCTGACAAATTTCCAAAAAGCTTTTGATAATGCCGAGATGATCACCATGGAAGCACCGTTTCATAATGAGCGTGATTTGTTAGGGTGTAAAATTCAATCTAAAATGAATCACTTACCTCCGTCAAAGCCATATTCTTTCAAAAAGTTGACAAGATTACTGGCGAACTTCTTTCGGTTCGCTGCGCTCGATGCAATATTGGAAAATACGGGCTGTGTCGTAGTTAAGTCGTCTGAGAATGACCAGCCACCAATGGAGATGAAGATCTCGACATCTGACAAGCCAGAAGTGAGTGACTTGATATCTGCAGTTCCAACGAACAGAGAAGTTGGCATATCAGGCTCCATGGTAGTAATTTGGAACGTGTCGGGGTCAATGTAGGCAAAGGCAAAGTTCACATGCGTGAGACCCGAAGTCGGAATAGCACTAGGAGGAAAGGCATAGCAACTGCGTGAGTTTGACCTATCATCCCGTTAAGACTGACAATTGCCTCATATAAAAGATTGTCTTACCATCCTTCATAGTATCCAATCACTCTGTTTAAGACCCCTTTTGTGTTTCCACCAGAAGGCGGAATGGGTTCTGACACGCAGTTATTTTGGCAACCATCGGAACAAAAGAGTTCTCCAGTTCCACAAAAGCCATACTGCGAACAACAAACATTCAAGGGGCAGAAAATGTATTCAGCAAGTGCATCTTTTCCACCTGCAAGATGTTAGATTGATCAAGGTATCACGAGCGGCTTTCCTTACATGGTGCGGTGGCATTGCAATTTGATGTACAGTCATCTCCGCAATAGGTAGAGCCTGTGAAGTTTTAGTAATAGTTCACAAGGGAAGAGGTTGAATCAATACCATAACCGCATACTCCTGTTGTCGTTCCTTCATAAGAACCACTAAGAGAAATTAATACACTGTCTTTGGATATAAGTTGTTGGGAGAAGATGGGGGAAGTCACCAGCATGCACCATTTGCACATGGCTTGTCCTATCACATGAGTTAGCGACAATTTCCAACCATCGTAGCTTGTCAAAACTTACTGCAGAGCAAACGTATTCATCATCGTCACGCTTGAATCCCGTGTTACGAAATGTTGAAGACAATTCGGCTTGGGTGGGTAATGACTCCTTGGTCCTTAAAACCTGCAAACCATGTCCTATGTACGGCCCGGAAAGAGTGATGGTGATAACTAAAAAGAAAAGAGCTAAAAGAGCGTGTTTTGAGCGTAGCAGCCGCCACTGCTCTGCCATAATGAGAAAGAAGGTAGAGTAATGAATGAATACCACTGATAAAGTAAGAGAGGAGCCTTTCCGAATGTCACACCAAAATGGAATAGATATAGAAAGGCAGCATGTTGATCACTTGGTACATGGACTTCAAACTCAATTTATCTTCTGGCTGCAATCTCACATGGTCAAGATATTGAGATTTCAACTGCCGATCCGATGCAAGATATGGATCTAGTACTCGGAAGTGGAAAGAGCCCCATGTATACTGTGAGATTCGGATATGAGTTACTACATTGCCAGTAAAGTCACCTGTCGCGCTGCCCTGCAATCGTATCATTGCGCGAAGAGAAATTTGCTCTTAAATTGCTACATGCATGTGATGTAGATGTTATCGGCCCATATTTCAGATACGCAGGCAGATTATACTTTTGACGTCGAAAAAGGAAAGTCTCAAATGCGGGTTTCTTCACTGCGAAATTATCAGCAGGGTAGATTTATGGATCATATAGATTCTTCCGAGAGATGGGACTATCCCATTTGTCGGAAAATCGGCGGCTAGCTTACCCAATTTATTTGATGTTGCAGTGGTGATTACCACAACCCCTGATGTACAGATGCAGCACAGACTACTATAAGCGAGCACTAAGCCAATTGTGATCGCGTTCTCCGGATCTCATTTTTTCCCGACAACCCGAAGCGTCCAGGCTTCAAGTGTGGGATCCACTTTCCTAGGGGTCTTAAAAGTCTAAGTCATCGACAGATGCACATCTTTTGGCCATTGCATGTTAGGACAATTTTTCGACATGTCTCGCCTTCAATATTATTTGGTCAGTGTATTCAATGTTCCCATGATCACGCACCTCTGTCGCCAATGAAATCCTGTATCTGACGTTCAAACTAGATCTTCGGTTTGCTGTTGCAACCAGTGGTTGAATCTCAAATTCTTCTTGGGGCCCCTCAGATTGAGGCTCCAGGAAATTTCTCTACAGCTTGCAAGTACGTTGCTAATATCGAAAACTTGTGGAAGATAATGCTAAATAATTTTCAAAATATAGTGCTACTTTTAGTGAGGACATCGCATGTAACATAACGCTGTATGAAGTCGCACTGGGACAGCTATTTCCCACAGTGGACGACCTTTCTAGCATTTGCACTGAAACCTGCCTAGAAGCGCTTGAGACTTTGCGAGCTCAGCAAATTTTGGATTGTAGCAGTTCCGATTTAGTAGTCACCGCAGGAGAGACATATCCTCCATCTCTCACTACCGATATTCTCTTATTCACATACAACTACACATGTGTACAAGATCCGCATGTATGACCGTAACGTAAGTTTGTTTGTTCTGCATTCTTGACTGACTTTTTTGTGCATAGAACCACAAGTGAATACTGTTTCCCGGACTTTTTCTCATGGAACAATAATACCGAAAGCACAACCTCCACTGAAGTTTGTTCAGATTGCAATCTTCTTATTCAGCAGAGCCAATTAGATTCGCCACTTGGATGGGATGATGAATCCGCTAGCATGTACTCATCACTAACCTCTTCGTGAGTTAGTTCAAATACACAATCACGAATGGAAAAATAAGAAGTCCTACTCACTGACTACTTGACAGCTGCGGAGTGACGAAATATCCAGTTACATCCCCAAATCCATACTCTCTAGGCATCACAAGTACTGTCTCATCAACTGCAAATCCTTCGACTACTACGGCCGCATATTCATGTACATCAATGTATACGATACAAGAAGAAGACACCTGTAGCTCAATCAGCGAATCCCAGCAGGTAGCGACATTCTATCTGATGCAAGCGAATAACCTTCCGGGATACTGCTCAGAGCTTCCAGGTCCAGGGACAAGTTTATGCATCCCACAAAGCTGCAAGCTTTACACAGTGGCAGCAAACGATACTTGCCATGGCATTGTCCAGAGCTACAATATGACATTCTCCAGCACACAGCTAATCTCTTGGAATCCCAACATCAACAAAGGATGTTCAAATCTGAATCAAGTAGAAGGCTTTCAGATTTGCGTAAGGTAAGGACGAATTCTTGTCTCAAAAATCACCCTTCGAGATCAAAAGTTTCCACAATTAATTGACCAAAACATGTAGTTATCCGGGATTATCAACTGCTGCTTCGACGGGGAGCGCAAGCGTCACCACGCCTATAGCGTAAGTCTAGCTAGACCATAACACACTTTTTTCTTGTTTATAATTTTATAAGTGTCACTGACTTCATCGAATACCTACTTACAGTTCGATTCCTACTAATCTAGCGCCGAACACAACGACTGACTGTAAGTTTTCAATCCAGCACTTTTCATCAATTGAGTAAACCAACTGACCGAAGTAATCATTCAGGTGGAGCATATTATCTAGTGTTGGATGGTGACGAATGTGCAAGTATATCGATTGCAATGGGTATCTCCTTGGCTGACTTTTACTTCCTGAATCCCATGGTAAACAGTACATGTGGAAATCTCTGGACTGACACCTACTACTGTGTCAAGGCCGTAGGAAATATCGCGACGTATCCCGGATACGGGTAAGTATTAATCCAGTTAAATTTCCAAGCTCTTCTGGTTTGCTGCAGCTGCTCCTTTTGGAAGTGAATTATTCCGTTCCCTATTTGCTGACAACTTGTTCTGACCGTAGGGGTACAACAACGACAAAAGATCCATGTTCGCAACTCTATGCCCCCGCTAGCTGTTTCGTCACCACATACCCTACCACTACGCCATTTGCTTGGCCAGCAGTGGGCACGATGACTACGACTGCTTTATTGACTAATTATACATCCCTCGCCGATCTTCCACTTGCACCAGGGACTGAAGGATCCTGTCCAAAGTATGCGAAGTACTATGAGAGCTCAACCGATATCAACTCATGTGGTGCCATTGCCTATTTTTACGACGGTGTGCTTTTCATCTCTTTTTACAGTATCATTCTTCAACACATATATCCAATTTGTTGTCTTTATCCCACTAAATGATAAGTACATAATGCTGATGGTTCTTCTTCCTTTGATTAGTTGAAATATCGGATATTGTCGCATGGAATCCGTCTTTAACATATGATGAAAACAACACGACGTCATGTGAGTTTCTTCCTGGCTACCGCTACTGCGTGGCAGGAACCACCACTGGATCGAATGGTACTTCCAGCATTTCGCCCAATGGACTTTGCGGCGCCGAAAATACAAATTATACATGTGAAGGTAGTGCGTTTGGAGATTGTTGCTCGGAATATGGGAATTGTGGTTCGACAAGCGACTTCTGTGGCGTGGGATGCCAATCCTTATTCGGAAGTTGCACCACAGTGTCTGCAACACTTCCAACTGCAACAAATACAGCAACGCCAACTGCCACTCTCTCACCAGATGGTTCATGCGGTGGTGATAATGGTAAGAGTCTAGCATAAAACTCTTCTCCTTCTCTGGACGCTTCTTTGAGATATCTCCCTTCCCCCTCCCCTTTAAAATATATCTTCTGTCATTTATGGTCATTTCTGAAATCTGACGCTAACTTCGGTCGGTGTAGGATATACTTGCGAGTCTCCAAATTGCTGTAGCGAGAGTGGATACTGTGGCAGCACGTCCGACTTTTGTGGTGTAGGTTGCCAGTCTGCCTTTGGCATTTGCTCCACCAGTCCTACTGCGACTACTGGCACAGTGCCGGCGGCACCATCCCAGACCATCTCTTCCAATGGCGGATGTGGTAACGACTACAATGATTGGACTTGCGCTGGATCTGCATTTGGAAATTGTTGCAGTCAATATGGGTTTTGCGGTAGTGAGAGTACATATTGTGACGTTGGCTCAGGTTGTCAAGCAACTTTTGGGGAGTGTACTTCATGAAAAACTCCGAGAGTTCTCCGGATAATTCAAAACTCATATGCGGTTGAGCATGGGTAGGGGGTGGTTATAAGTTATCCTCACAGCTATTGAACATCTGTACCATTTCAGCTGTACGAAATCTGTCTAATTTTTAATCCATTTGACATCATATCAGCTGATACAGCATCTCGATGTCAATTCTCTTAGATTTCTATAAGTTGACACCTCTTTTGATAACTTGCCGACGTATGAAGCATCTTGACCACCTTGTTATCGAACCTCGAAACACTTTTGTAGATTAGAGAAAGTTCAGAAGAAGCCGAACATTATTGTGTTATCATCTTACAAATTGTGTATATGGGAGTGTACTGAATAATCATAGCATGGCTATTTATTTCAATAGCTGTTCCGTGCCCGATCGATAGGCTGGATATGGCGTCTCAGGGCCCTAAACATAAATGTCAGTAATTTATCAAGAATGCGATGATTTGATTTCTCGCGGCTTTAAGGTGCAGGAGATAGAAGGAGCACAAACCACCAACTCAGCAGGGCCTCCTTTGATAGTCAAATATCGCGTTTCCCAATCTTCACTCTTAGACATAAAGCAATAATACAACCAGTCGAATACCTTGGGAAGCGGAATGGTAATTTCTCCTGTGAAGTCGGATGTATCTGCTTGTGGTGTGATCGTTGCTGGGTTATTATGATCGGGATCTACAGCTCGTAAATACAATGCAAACTCCCAGGGATTCCGATCTCCAAGGGGTTTCGGCTTGTATAGTGTCTTCGAAGATATGAAATTGTGATTAAGAACTGCCTCATCCACCACCAAAAAGCAATCCATTGCTATCCCATTAGGAATCTCTTGACGCTCTCTCATCGTTTTGAATCTGTGCCGCAAAGCATCAGTATCAGCTCCGTCCATCACCGGATCAGAAACAAAAATCGATTGACTTGTCACAATCAGGGGACTTGCTCTCTTCCAAGAATCTTTCAGCACGGTGTTTCCAGTCATAGTGTAGATTCCCTTAAAGACACGCCATTTTTCATCTGTTTCCTCACTATAATCGGTCCGAAAAACAACAAACCCCCACTGAGGTAGCTTTGCGGTAATCAACTCTTGCACCCATCTTGGCCGAGAAGCTACGTGTCGCGCGGTCATGGCAGCACGCTGCTGCTCGCGCCGTTGTTTTATGACCGCATCTAAAGCCCTGTTGCGGTTGTAAACCAGACGATGAATCTCATTATCGTAATCATTAGCCAGGAAATCCCGTACTTTTGCGACAAGTTGTTGCTCTTCGTCCACAAGGTTCATAGACCACAGCAAATTTCTTTTGCAGTTAACGCTTTGTTTACCTGGCTCCCACATGACACCAAATAGTATGATGTTGACCTCTTCCTCGGAGAGGGTGTCCGAGCTTGTCATTACTTTATTTTCAAGCTCCGCCATGGTAAGGCCGGTTTTTTCCTTGCAAATTCTATCTTCTTCATCGGGCGGTGGGACACCTAATAACTGATTCTTCTCAGCTCGTGTGACGGATGTAGGATCTTCCAACGTTGCGATACGCTCGTACAATGCCTTGTCCTCGGGTGGCATTCGAAACTTTGAGAGTTGTGAAGAGTCGGCCAAATTAGACATCTTGGATATTTGAGACGAGGTGAATCAAAAGTTGCGGGAATGTTTTTAGAAAGAGCAAGAGAACAGTTGTGCTGTTAACAAGTCCCATGTAACGTAACTTACATAATGTACAAAATACACGATCACGTGTACTTAATACGGGTCCATGATGTGATGTACCTAGGCTGCATGATACACCTTGTACAGCTAACAAGCTGTCTATCATTTGATTGGCCAAATGAAAGAATCTTTGCTAGATACCCACACAACCCATAATCCTTCAAAAATCATTTTTGTCTAATCTTATTTTATAATCATTGAAGTATTGAGAATGAAGACACTCTGATTCACATTAATTAATCGCGCTTTATTAACTGACTAGGTACCAAATATAATATTTATGAACCTTTCCTTCGAAATTCATTCAGTCGTCCATTTCGTTCTCATTATTACTGGTGGTGTTGTTGCAATATTGTTCGGAGACACGACGGTGTATCGTGAATTTGCGCAGACCGCGTACCATGATCACCACAACATGAACCCTTCAGTGAGAATATCAGGATTGAATAATTGCAATTACAAGCCTTAGAGCTCTTTCAACATATGTTATCTAAGAGGCGCCAGAAGAAGTCCCATCTAATCAGACTGTGCTTCCTCCAAGACAATAACGATACCCCGGAGCAAGCACACACGAACTAGTATTTTTGGCATCCAATGTAAGTGATGGATTCCACGCGATGAAATCATGCACATTGACTATTCATCCCCCCAAACAATTCATCAGTAGGTTAAACATAGACATACAATCTCAACGGGGTGGGACATCAGGAACGAAGTGAAGAAATCCATGAACTCACCTTCATAAAAATGCGCAACAAAGAAACATATGTTAATCCTATCCGACTTACCCAAACGGTTCGTGTACCTCTCACAAGATCCAGAAGTACCAGGGGCAAGTGGAAGATCCTTCATTGGTGTAAATTCGGGCTTGTAAGCACGAGTTTTCGTGGGTGTACCGACGGCTGGCCATGTGAATGGCGTGGTGGTTGAGTACGTGGTGACGAAACAGCTAGCGGGTGCTTCGTGTTGGAAACAGGGATGCTTGGTTCTGCTTCTTGTTGTGGTGGATGTCGTGATGGAGAGGTATGTGGTTGTGGTTGTGGTTGTGACGGTGATGGTAGAATGTGAAAGAGGACATTGAGGTGGAGATGCGAGGATGGAGTGGAGGTCTGGGAGGAGTATGTAAAACTATGAGAAGTTTTAGTTGCATCTACTGGATTTTCCAATGTATAGTATAATGATTCGTATGGAATTGTATGAATGACACTAGAAATTTAGACTCACCAATATATATAGAAAGCTAATCATGCTGAACAATTTTCTAATTTTTTTGAGGATGTGTTGGATGGACTGGAAATCGAAGGATGTCCATTCCTTAATAAACAAATTACAAAATCCCAGGAATCTGGATAGACCCATCGCACCGGGAAACTTATCCGTAAACAACACGCTGTAGCCTTCGGGGGACATCTCAAATCATGCTTAGACTCGGAGCGAGCAGTTGTAATGGGGTTAGTGCTCGCTTAGAGTTGTCTGTGCCGCATCTTTACTTCAAAGTCCAGGGGTTGAATACCTAGGTAGTTGCCAACTTTTGCTACAAAACCACAAAAGCGGTATGTTATTCTCGAATTGGAAGACGATTACTCACATGGGAACACCTATGAACTGAAATGCAGTAACAAGTTACAGTTATTAGAAGTGTAAAATGCTATTCGCTATCAATACTCCTGATTATTCACTATGCCACCCAAATATCCATCCATTAGACTACTCCAAGCTGCATCCTTTACTAATTGCAGTTCCAATCCAGTCCAGTTCCCAACTCCTCAATGCATTCGTAAACCGGCCTGCGGTTTTCTATTTTATTTTCTTCCCTTTACTTTCCCCTCATCTCCATCCTTCTATTCCACGACCACCACCACCAACCTAATACCTCACACCCCTCTTCCCCAACTCCTTCCTCCCCACACCTTCCTCTGGCCAAACCCACCCACGACCCCTCTTCGCCTCTCTCTTCTCCGCCAACTGCGGTTCCGGAATCCAATCATCCTTTGGCAAAATCTTCCTCCTCGTCCCCTCAGCCGGTGCTCCAATCTCCGTCTTCCACGTCATCTGACCAGGCAAAATCTCATCTCTCGCAAGCATATGCAAATACCAAAGCGCCATCAACGCCGTCATATTCTCCAACTTATCCTCCTCGAAAGAATTCTCCACCTCGGAAAATGCAGAAGTAGAACTGGCATGCGCAGCAAGCTGAATCGTCTGAACCTCCAGATATCCAAAATGCGGCACGGACTCGGATCCGTTGCGTACGACGACAAGTTCGATTTCTGTCATGATAAATCCATAGCGACATCCGTGTTCGCGCATGCATTTGTGTAGATGCGCGAGGCCCCGGAGATATTCCACTTTGCGATGGTTGCCCTCGACGCGCATACCGGTATTCCAGCGGTCAAAGGATTTGACTAATCCGACGACGCGACCGAGGCCTCGTCCGTAGATTAGTTGGGAGTTGTCGTCGGTGTAGTTGGAGATGAAAGATGGATCGCCGGATTTTTGTCCCATGGCTGTTGATGCACGCATCATGAGATGACGGGTTCCTTGGGAGATGGAAAGTGCGTGGTTGAGTTTTTTAGCGTAGAATTGGGTGTAGATGTTTTGCAATTCGTGTTCATTCTCGGGATTGTTGCAAGCGCGCGATGGTTGTTGGAAAATGTTGGATGGGAGACCGAGGTTCAGTAGATCGCGAAAACCGGGGATGGAGGAAATAGTGGTAGTGTTGAAGGAGGTCCAGGGTCGGATTTGTCGGATATCCCACCAGAAATGCTTGGCGTTTGTGTCGCGGACATGGATGTTAAGTTGACGGACGAGAGCTGGAGCGGGGTTGGGTGAGGTGAGGTAGGTGGCGAGGTTGGATATTGAATTATCGGAGATATGGATGGTTTGAATGTCGTCTATGCTGCTCATTTGAGCAAGGGGAGATGGCTCACGTGCAGGAGTTGGGTATCGTTCATGTGGTTGTGGTGAATATGATTCCATGACTGACATATTTGGAGATTGTTGGATATAGTTTGGCATTTGACGATAAGTTGGGAATCCATATTTGCCGAGTGTTTGACCATCAAGACTGGAGCTTGAGGAACGTCTGTGTTGCTGACTTTCAACTGATTGAACAGCGTGCATTGGTGAACAAAGAGTGGACATTGGACGGGTATTCGAGGGGAATATATCAGAGTTAAACACGATTGTCTCGGGATTCGTGTAACTCCTATTATGAGTAGGTTTGAATGCACGGCTAGCAGCATTCTTTTTTGATGTTTTGGTTACTCTCAATCCAGTTGAGGGCGAAGCGTTGATTTCCTGATCTTGTGGACGAATCTTAGGTAGGAGAAGTGGGCCATGTTGTCTGATTGGTGATCTAGCCGGAGTAGTCATCTGGGTACTTGAGATGCTGATAGAATCGGATGGAGATGAATCTCGAGAATAAATTGACACTTGCGAACCTGATCGAGAATGGCCAAGTCTGAAAGGAGCACTGATTAAAGGCTCCTCAAATGTGAATTGTGGTGGAGTAGTTGGCTCAAATGAGAACGAAGAATAATCAAATGACATGTCTGCTACCGGACTGCATACATAAAAATGTTAATCAATGTCATTGTGGTATAAATTTATTAGCAATGTCAGGTGCTTGACTTACGCAAAAATATGAGTAGGGTGGTGGTGAGCGGTAGGTGGTCTGTGTCTATGAAGAAAACACTATATTAAAGTTCTGATGAAGGAGCCGGCTCCAGATATTTCGATTGCTTCAAGATCAACTGAAGAATATTAAAAGGTATGGTATGATGATATGACGATGAGCACAGCTCTTCTAAAAAGATTGATGACAGAAGAGATGTCTAATGCGAATGAATGAAGAACGAAAGAAAGAGTATGAGATGAGACTGAATAACTAAAAAAGAGATGTGAGGTGACAACCACCAGTACTTATCCTCGTTGAAATTGAGTAGAAGGGTAGTATCCAATACCTAGATCACTTCATGGATCGACTTGATGTCCGGACAGGGGTATCAAGAAAAAAATGTAAATAATCCGAAACGCGGAGAAATGTAGTTAGACGAGACTGAAAATACACAAAGTGGATATGATACTGTTTCTTGGTCAAGAAGATGAGGCCATATGGTTCGTTCTTCAGCAGCCGCCGGATAAAATATAATCTCAATTAGGTTAAGTATATGAAGCACTAATGTAATGCAGTGCAATGTTAAAATGACTCATTTTTAGACTATTCAACCTGACCCATGAACGCCAAGTTTTTGACAGTGGATCCGGGGAGATGGTATTTTACATGGGAATTTGATAGTTCTTGCTGAGAAATCAGGAAAGAATCCAATCAAAATCGATTATCACAAATCGAATCAGATTGGAGGCGCTGATTGTGAAGTAAGCAAAAAGACGCGTTCGGGTAATTACATTTTAGGATACTATGTACCTGGGTACGTACCATGAACACCAAAACCCACGATATCGCGTACAACATCGCGAAATTTCTCCAAGCGCTCGCGTTACCAAAATCAACAAGTCAATATTGCACAACATCAAGTATAGGTAGGGTATAGGTAGTCGTACAAAACAACGGCAACGGCATTGAACAATAATTTCATTAGGTACCACTACTTGAAGACGTACCTAAGAATAATTTGTCGCCTTATTGGTTAACCAGCGCTTGCTTAATGAAACTTTTTTTAGCTTTTGCGACATACGACTGGCCAAATTGTCGACCCATCAAACTTCGGTGAATCGGAATCGATTTTTTCAATAAGCAATAGTTCAACTCAGTTGTGGAGTACAAATTGAAACTATTCCCAATTTCGATCACACTATTCAAGTACCGCGACCGGCAGACGCTTTTGCTAACAAATTTACACAGCCGACCACCAAGCGCCCGAGTAACATTATGCTTTATTCAAATGAGACTGCTCAAAGTAAAGAAATGTCACGTTAATCCAAAATCGGGTTTGAAGAAATGGAGACTGGCGGTTACGTGTCAGGGTCGTGTTGACGACGTAACCTCTTCTTGAAGATCATTGGTAAAGGAGCACACGCCAATAAGCGAATGATCTCCGAATTATCCCTGCCTTTTCTCTCGACGCGCCGCATACCTGCCTAGGTATGCAGGGTATGGCTGTACATGGGTTGTAGACGAATCAATTGGATCTTGATAGATTGGGTTGAATTATTGGATGTCGTTCGATTTTTATATCTTGGAATTTTGATGGGAGTGATGCGATGTATCATTCCGAGAATCAGTCAAGATGTTCATCTTGTTTCATGATCTACGTTTCACAGTTTCAGGAAGGAAAACTCTGACTCATTATTAACTGTACAATTCAGAGAAGCAGGACCCATGGAACAGAGATCGGATGGAGAAATCCACTATCCGTATCTGATAAGCAGTGGTATGATATCGTCATATCTTTTATCAGACGAAAGATACCCCAAGTCCAGAGGAAGGTAGGAGCTCACTAGAATCCGATGATGACAACCCATAAAACGTAAACGGTATTTGTCAGATTGAAATTCATGCCTTTAAGCTTCGGCCTCAAGAACAGGTCTACCTAAGATTAGCTTTCTTCATACTTCAAATTGAGACGTCTCGTAATTTTCAAGACCAGAGGTTGAGACAGTACGTACTATTCGAAATGCCGTTGTGGGATTTGATATTTCCCATGACTTAATTTGTACGATCAGGTAGTATTTTCTTCTCGGATAGCTCGCCTGAACTATCTAAAAATGGAATTCTGGAGTTCGGAAAGACCTAAAGCGCTTAGACTGCACTAAGGTCCAAGATAGATAGAGCGGGTTCACGATAACGGTCGTAGGATTGATTATCGTTCATTCTCGTACCCTTGAAGGGCTGAACGAGGGAACGAGAACGACAGGTGTTTCGTGGGGTTTTCGTTTGCTTGATTAGGAATGATTGATTGGTTGGCTGTTTCGTTTGACTTCGGGACTTTTATCCGATGATTCAAATTTCAATGGAGAGAGTGGATCACGTGCGTAATCTACAATCGCTTGTATCTTTTCTCCGCTCGGCAACTTTAATTTGTGAGAGAGTCCACTTCATTTTCCTCCGGGCGGCTACGAAATTAAAAATACACTGGGAAACTCATGAGCGGAGACTAATGTGGACACTGTTTATGCGGATCGTTGAAGAACTTTAGTTTAAGTTTTCTATCTTGGGAATATTGATCAAGGATCAAATATTGAACTATCTTTGGCTTTTGAGCCCCAGGGTTACATTTCAATAAGCGTGTCTTCCACGTGATCGAATGATTACGACACAAGTCCGTTTTGTTTTGCGCGTACATGTATCGTCTTCGTTCCTTCCTTCTCTGTATCTCAATCCACAATTTGCCCGTGTCTTTGAAATCCTTCCGATTTCTTATCCCGATCATCACTCTTACGTGCTTGGCAGATTGATTGCCAATCTCAGCTGCTCGACGATCACTGCGGTTTCGAAAGGCCTCAAACTGGCTGATGCGTTCGGGTGATATGTCTTGAAATGTCCACGAAATTGAGCAGTGTTCGAAACTTGGTCCCTACCGCCGTCCAGAGTTGCGGCGGTTATGTCTATTGCGCTCAGACTTTCGTGTGGCCCGGTAGATGAGGAGGGGAAGACATCGAAGGATTTGATTAGGACTTTTATCTTTATTCTATGCTTTCACTTATTTATCTATCGATTTGTTGATGTTTAGTACTGAGATTGATCCTTTTCACTCTCGTACCACTTTCAGCTGAAATCATGATTGATTAGAACCCGCCATTTTATATTGCTTCAGCCGCAATTCACTAATTTCTCGAAGAGAAAAATATCTTTTTGTTGCATATCTTCGCTATTTATTTCTCCTTTCACTTTTGAATGCAGCTTTGTTGCACATCTCCGCTATTTTTACTCTTTTCAATATTGGATGCAGTTTTGTTTTATAAATTCGCTCCTTACTTCCATGAGATAACTAGTATTGTTGGCCATGCTGGAGCTTCGCTATTTATTTCCGATGTCGAGAACACTCCCCAATCTTCTTTTTTGATAACACCCCTCATGTTTTCTCTATAAAGATTAATTTTGCATACGGGTCCTCTCAGCGAGTGTGTGTTCTGACTCTCGTCGAAATTATATTTGCAACATCGCAGACTTGAGGTCAAATCATCCACAATGCTCCAATCACTCGAGCGTGGAATCGACAAATAACGTTACATTAGTCCAAGACTATATGGTACAGTAAAAGTTTTAGTCCTCACCAAGTCGAATTCTACAAAACTCGCATTGTAGTATGCATTGAGTATCTGCTTGATTGAAAAATAGCCGCTGATTCCTAGGAAATTACCATCTTTCAGTTGTCTCTGTGTCCTAACCTCAATGGTATGATCAGTCGATATGCAGGTTGATACTGGTAGGTGAAGCCATTCTCTAGAGTAATCTGCAAATGCTAATTGCATTAGGATATCCCAATATTTCATCATTTTTCTATGCCGACAATATCCGCTCTTGCTCTCTTTCGTCGAGAGAGAGGTCCTCAAATCGTCGGTGCTTGCTACATCCCATCACAGCTGACCATTCCTCGACTTGTGGGACCAGTTGACCTTATACCACTTTGATTAACGTTCTTAACTTGGGAGGCCTAGTTGCAAGGACAAAACACGGTAAAGAGTTATGGGAGTTGGAAAAACAAAGGCATGACCGCAGGCTCAATGGAAATGATACTTTTGAGGGGTTATGAAACTATCGGATAGTAAGGTCAAGGTGAGCTGATTCCATCTGAGTATTCTAGCAAAATTGAAAAGCTACGATGCGTTTGGTTTTTTGCTCAGATATTTCTTGAACACTTTCCATTATTCTCAGACGCAAACAAAAGAAAATAGGCGAAACTTACGATTCAATACTAAGCCCGGTGATTTGTGTGATAGGATTTACTTTACGAGCTGATGGACTGTAACACATTTGGGGTAGCTTTCGACATCGGCGCTATTTTTTATGGCTTCTCAGATATTATTCTCAATCAGCAATCGAGTTTATTAATATGGAAACTTATTCTCAACTCTTTGTAAGTAGGAATATCGAAAGAGTCTCCAAGTTTTTTTTGGTGAAATTCTCAACAGTATAAGTGTGCAATTAGCAACTTTTCTCGCCGCGTTCCTGACCTGCTACTATATCGAGGCTGCATTATTGACTCCGCACCGTCATGCACAATCCTATTCCCTGATCCCAAAACCATGATTCTGTGGAATTTGATTGGATTATTTCCAGAATTTCCTAGATGTAGGCCCAATCCTCGCGTTGAACGGATCTTTGAAGCGCCACTCTATTTCTTACACAAGCAGCTTTGTAGCACCAATCAGCTCATCATTCTATCTATATAAATAGATCTATGAGAGCTTATGTTCAACAAATAATACAGATCCAGACCACCTCTAAGTAGGTATTTTTGCACGACAATAAATTTCACTGTCGTGTTTTTGTGCTTGAATCCACTTTACCGATTCCCCTCCCCCCCATCTTGCTCAATCAAGTACTCTGTGCGATTTCGGTATTAAAATTGATCAGCTGATTAGTTTACCATTCGTCTAGTGCAACAAACCAGTCACAAACTTTGTGAGGTCCAATTAGAATTTCCCCCACAAAGTGCAGATTACAGTATGATCATATTGGAGTTTCTTTCGATCAATTCGATAGAAGAATCGAGATCTCAAGGTACTCTTTTGAGTGGAATAGATTTAGGAAGATTTAACGTAAGATTACATCGAGCAGTTATAGTGTATTGTGCCAATCGATCTAATAGGCACTGTTTCAGACTTTTCGTGCCATTGAGAGATGTTTGGCAGTCCATCGGGTGCCTATTGTTTTGGTGATTTTGGAGTGTCTCCACAGCTCAACACAGGCTTGAACACGGGGAAGAGCACTAAGAGCTGGGATAAAACATCTGTTCCGGAACGTAAACTTTCGTGCTGGGATTCGGCACAATGCTCGCGGAGCGAGGTGGTTCGCTCAAAATCTCAGCGGCAGCTTTCGCGACAACATCAGTATCTGCGAGTACAACATCAGGATCCTCAAAAAGATCTCAAACTTTACAAAATTCACTTCTAAAACCGCATTGACATCTTCTTCATCCGCAACAACAACTTCATTTGCCGCAAAAGCTTCCAGCTCAACCTCCACAATAGTCGGTGTAGCAGTCGGCATTCTTCTCGGCCCTGTTATCATAGCAGCTCTCTGTCCCCTCTATCTTTAACCCCAAAAGCGAAAGAAACTCCGGACTAAAAAACTTGAGATGAATAGATTATATGATAATGGCACGTTTAGTCATGGAATTAATTCATTGATAGCTTTCAATTCATCAGGTTGAAAATACCATGTGTCAAATGTGCAGATGGAGCCGATGAGAAGTTGTGGGGAAATTCAGGCACAGGTGCTGCAGTGTGAGTTAGGGCTGAGGGGGAAACAGTATGATTTGGGAAATAGGTATTGGGTAGGGAATTTAGATCTGGGAGGGTGGATGGTTTGTAATGACATTATGCGAACTCGGAATTCTGGGGATTTTCGGAGACACAGAAAGCCAGCATCATTCGGCAATCATTAGATGCAAGACTGAGAGGGGTAAAACTGGGACATGCCACTATAACAACACAGCGATAATCAAGGCTGGGATATGCTTTCGATATCTAATTTTTCTTCATCAAGCCTCAACTTCACTTGTTCTGTTTCAATCGATTAAAACTGGACCACATCTTTATCCCTAAGTTTGAGATGAATATAATTTAGTGTCCAATTGATGCTCGCAAGATTGATTATACTAGTTTGCACTAATCGGGATTATCCGTAAGCCAAGAAATTGTTAGCGCGCCCCACTTAATGTAGAAATTTGCTTGGTCTCGGTACTTGAGTCTGGGCATCGAGGGTCGGATCTCTCGGTTGCCAAAGCGCAAAAGGATGCGAGATTGACGTCAAAGCCAAGATTTTTAGGGTTTTTGTACCGAGGAAAATATTGAAAGTGGTTTCGTCTGGAGAATTGGCTGGGAGTTGAATCATTTCCAAAAGGAATGAGCATATCAGTGGGACTAGTTTGAGTCTTTTTGAATCGTCGTGCTTTTTTTCAGAGATGAAAAGCTCTTTCAAGAAAACAAATCAAGAGTTTGTCCTTGTCTAAAAAATAATTTCACGAAGAAGAATGAGCGAAAGCTAGGTATCTAATACAAGACAAACCGTTGTTAAATGATCTTAAACCGCTTCTTTTGTCATCTTTACTCATATGAGAGTGACAAGGGGGCTTTTGAGAATGTTACACCCTATAAACAAACCACAAACTCTTACATTGTAAGTTCAAAATCTCAAAAATAATCGTGATGACTCCATTCTAATTAGCAATCATCTCAACCTTTACATCTCTCGCTTAATGTTTTCATCTACATACCTGTAGACTCGCAATGATTAATCCTCTTCACAATTGGACCCAAGCACAGTAATCATATCAATATGGGAAACAGTAACAAGACTGACCCATTAAATGATATATATATGATGAGGTCAGTTCCTCTACGACGTGTACTCCGATTTCATGAACATTGATTTCGAGTTAAATGGTAGCTGGAGATCTGATGTCATAAATACTGCCTTACAAAATATACAGAAATACCCAAAGACTGTAAGAATAATTTTCCAGATTAACTTTGAGGATCACAGTACTTTTACAACGAATGAGCAGACTACCATCAGAAATCGTATCACAGAGATCTCTCGAAGCATCAGCCGTTTGATTGTTGACAGGGAAGGAGGGGTGGATAAATTCGATATGGTCGAAGTAATCTTTCATATGCCTCGCTTCAGTACTCGGCAACTCAATTGTGGCTCTACCTTTCCACTTTTGATACCATACTGGAGTCTCACGTACACATATGAGGAGAGTAATTCTACGGGTCGTTACAACTACGGTGTAGGTGGTCGATGGGCGGATGTTGAAAAGGAGATCGATAAGCATGCTCATGAGAGGCAGTTGCCGAATGATGGATAGGAGGGGATAGGATTATTATCCACTTGTTAATTTTTCAAGATTCTGGGCACGTAGCTTGGGAGTGGTGTTGAGATAGAGGAGAATAGGATTGATTTATGGGAGAGTTTAATGTCGTTTAACGATGTGTTTTATGCTTTGGTTCTGTAGCTTCAATAATAATGGTAACATTACGGAATTCCGTACCGAGACTTTAAGATTCTGTCGTAATAATATATCACAAACTATGGACGTGAACCGCTGATTTGATATCGTATAGAAAATGCCGTGAGTTTCTATGGTGAATCGCGGATTTTTGACACTCCTGTAGAATGAATGCATCGCCTACTTGCGCACTTGTCTTTTATCTCGTTTGATCTATATTCATCACTCTGTCATAATGAAAAATAATCCTTACCTACAGAACGGAATAGTAAGAAAAGAACTTTTAACTTTTGATAGAATTGATTTTGCTGGAAAGTTTGCAAATCTTGCTGGTGCCGAATAGGAGAAGCTGTGAGTGATGAAGATTGGGGGGTTTCGATTCTCTGGGTCAGATCGCATCTTGGGGATGAATAGGATAATATGGATCAACTTCAGCTGGATAACTAAAAATCTAATGATATGTGTACCTATACTTTGGATATCTTGGCAATTGTGATGATAATGTTATAATTCAGAGATGATCATACAGTTTCTTGGGTATTAGATCTCTAAATGACATTATGTTGATTCATCTTTCTATACCTCAACCTTGGTGTTGTTGCATTAGCACTCGTCGATACTATCATAATAAGATATGAAGTTTGATAGAAGACTGTGCTACAAAACCGGAATTGCTAATGATATTATAGATTATCCAGAAAAGACACTATTTTATGAATTCAACCGCGTTTGCACCCTTGATCACAGGTCTCTTGTTTGAAGTGAAGATACTGGCATGATTACTGTAATTTCTCATTGACAAATAGTTTGCCTCTATACCTTTGACATTTTACATCATTCTTTACAATATGCAGTCAGTTTTTTGACCTCACAAACACCTTCCTCCCAAAAAGTCATGTGTCCATACAGCAAACAATCCATTCACGAACATATAACAAGAGCTCAGTTTCTCTCTCTATTCTCCATCAGCATCTCTGCCAGGAGCAAACCGTTTCTTCGCACAGATTCACAATTTCTAGTCTATCTAATTCAATGATGACAGCTCAACCTCAACAAGCGAACAATATGGCTGCATACATTCCGAATCATCCAGAACTGCAATACACAGGAGTCCACCCAAATAGAATGTTGGTGATTAATTTTAGACGGAATGGTGGAGACGATATCCTTGATCTCATCAAGCAGTATACTCTCCTAACTGAAAGACTAGTCCTCTACATCGATTTTACTCAGCCTAGTACTTTGACACCAGCAGAACAAGCCGCAATTAAACGGCGCATTATCAAAATTCGTGATGCCATCAACTACGTTGCCCCCGGTGCACTATTTACATCGAATAAGATTTTAACTGTGCAAGTGTTGGTCAACATGAGCCAATTTAGCACTTGGCGGCTTAAGAGCTGTGCCGGTCTCGCTGAATTGGTCCCGAAGTGGGATCTCAGATGGCAAATCAATGGTGGAGCTACGAGAACTTGTTACAGAAGCGAGTTTGGCGAGGTGGTTGATTTGGAACAAATCATCATCAACTAGGTATGCTCATAGAAAGGTTCTGCACAATGATGGTTAGAAGCATACTGATGGTAATGCTATGAATACTCAAACTTTTGAAATTTCAACGTTTCAGTTACATAGCATGAGCATAAGACAAGGATAGATTAGGTTTTGCTAAAGAGTTTAATATTAACTGATATTTGTATCTTCCATGTCTTGGTATTTTGTGGTTACAATAATTATTTTAAACAATTCAAAGAAATTGGTAATGATTCATAGATTAATGATATTATAAATTATTCTAAAAACCCACTTTTTTATGATTTCAATTTCTTTTATACTCTTAATCAAAAGTGTCTTGTTTGAAGTAACAAATAGATTGCTTTTCTATTTCCGATTTTGATATCAGTTTCTATGATATTCAGTGTCATTCCTTTGATTTACTTCACAAACACCAATACTTCCAACAGTCATATCTGCATAAAGCAAATAACAGCAAACAATTCATTTACAGATATGTATAATAAGAGCTCAGCTTCCTTCCATCCCATTTTTATTTATGTGTTAATTATAGATAAGACTACAAATTCAAATTGTCAGTCACTTTGATCTCTTCACAATGTCTAATTCTCATCAGACAACTCATTTTCCTTCAGGGTTGCAGTACAATGACACCAAAAACATTTTAAATATCACTTTTAACAGGAATAATAAAAACGACATTGCCCCAAGAATCCTGGAATACGTCCACAAAGCCATTCGCGTCAGCATCGACATCCAATTTCCTCATCCAAGTACTGTGAGCGAAACAGGTAGAATCATTATTCGAAAGCGCATCGAGGATATTCTTGGCGCCATCAATAAGGAGCAATTTCCAAACGGCGCAAAGAATAGTATCAGGTTCGTTGACGTCTCAATCACCTTGAGTACATTCGACCTCGACCAGCTTCTCTGTTGTACTACCTTCAAAAATCTGAATCCTGAATGGAATCTCAGATATCGCGTAGGTACTGGGGGATGGGTTGATGAGTTTGACTGCAAGTGGAACAGTGATCTCAGAAAACAGTTTATTCAGCATGCCAGCGATCTTTGCCATGTTACTGCCGGCGCAGCCGAAGCTACTGGATAAAAAGTTACTTGGGGTTTCGCGAGGATGATCAGCGGCTCTGTCGGTGAACCTTCATCATCACCCCATTAAAATAGTTTGGAAGTGGAAATGGAATAAATATGGATCGGATTTAGCTGGGTGATTTAATACTGGTTTATTGGTTGATAGGTGTATTGTTCACGTCTTGGTATTTTAGTTGCGATGGTTATGTTAAGACAACTCAGAAATACTCACACTTGCTCCCGTACTGGATCTTGAAATGAGAGTATGGTGGCTTGTCCTACTGTCTACTCGGATTTGATCGTACTTTCACGAAAGTCACAGACTCACAATTCCTCGAGTGTATCTTATTTTATGATGTGATATTCTTCTGCGAGTCAATAGTATGTGTTGGTATCAACTTGGTCGATTAGTGTAAAGTACTTTAGTCTATTAAAGTTGTATTCGTTCTTGATCATTATTATCGATGGGAAGCTAGTATTTAATATGGTAGAAGTGCTAGCGCTAGTGTATACGCCAGTGCAATACAGTGCCCTCTTTTGATCACATGATCGATATCCCGACAGTATGAGATAGCTAACTATATAAGTAGAATTGAGGCGTGACAATATGATTTTACTATTTCTAGAGTCGTTATTGCACGGCAAATGAAGTTCCTGGCACTTACTGGATTGAGCGGATTTGAATGTACATTTGAGGAGAGTGAGGAGGAGAGCCGTATGTGGAGGCTTAAAAAACGGAACTAACATCCCCTGGCACTTAAGCTGGAGCAAATAGAAATACAGTTGGGGAAAACACATGAATGTTATCGATGAAGGCTCGACTCGCGTAGTCAGAAACTGAGGTAGAAAGCCGAAAAAGTGGAAGGGCACTAGAGTAGATGCGCGAGATAGTTGAGGATTCCAGCTGTTTTTACGTCGGAAGGATATAGTGTAGTTAACCTTAAAGTAGCAGACATGAAGTGTATGTTGTGGATAGTATTCAATGGAAGTTCGAATAGATATGAGGCATAAAAATCCGTGTTGGATAGACTTAGAAAGGTAGGGTTAGAATGGTATGGTATTATGTTGTCTGCCCTCTTCGTACGATGAGGGCATAGCTATGCTATATACATGTTCTACCTCATATACGCACTTCATGCGGCGGTGAGGGGTTAGCATATGATCTGATTCACGTGTTCCAACAATGCGGGATTCAAGATACGTCTTAAAGATTTATGCGTTTTAAACGATTTATACGTATGTCTAAAGCAATTCTAGTCGATGTTTTAAACGATGATAAATACATACACGTTTCAATTTTGTTTTAAACCCCTTAAATATACGTTTAAAAAACTGTCTGAACCGCGTTTTAAAACTCTTTGAATTAATGTTTTAAGCGATTCTTAAAGTTGAATTAAGCGGCTTTGATATGTGTTTGAAACGGTTCTTGAAGTTGTTTTAAACGCCTTTCCACTCAAGAGAGGTAGATATGAGGAGTTTGATCTAGACTGCCGTGTAATAATCTCACGTTTCCGTCATGTTATTGCGTGTTATACAAAATGCTTGTAGACAATTTTATTGGTGCTCTTTGACTCCTTTATGTATTTGAGCTCAGCCTTACTGCCATTTACCCACCACCTTAGTCGCTGTCTTACCCCATAGAATAATCTTTTTTGGTATTCAGCATATATTAAAATGGAAGATATGCAATGATCTAGCTTAAATATCCATCTAGCTGTATATTTGAAATATCTTAAGACTTGCGAAGAGAAAGAATCGCAACCTATACCCTTGAAAGTTGGATGTTATTCCACAACCCAACACCATATACTCTCCTGCCACCATCTGCTTCTTCTATCTTATCATTTCTTCAGCGTTTCTACTTTCTGGGGAACCAGCAAGTATGCACTTGATACGATTCCCAATTTGTAGACTCTCCTTCCCCCTTCCAATTATGGATAGGATACATCTGTATATGGAACGTACTACTTATTTTCCGCTCTCTTCTCTAATTCTTGTCTCAACAATCGAATTTCAATCTTTCTTTTTGCAATCAAATACTCAATATAATGATCAGGTAGAACTACACCCATACAATCTTGGGGTAAGGATAAAAATTGGAGTTCGTCGTCTGCCCTCTCTCCCCACATCAGTGTTATTCGTTCAAGTTCTCGTATCATTGCTGTTTTGCGGCTCTCCATTATGCGTTTGTCGTATAAACGATCACTCTCCTTTATCCGCTCCCTGCATAAGCTGTCGCACTCTTGATGTGTCTTTGATTTTGGATCGTGTTCAGACCAAGTTGTTTTGATTATTTGATTAATTCTGATGTGGTATTCTACCTCCTCCTCGTTCATATCCTCGATCACATCACCCGTTGTATACACATCCATGCTTAGCTCACTAGATAGACGCAAAGATGGATATACTTCCTCTGCAGGATCCTTTTGTTTCAATAACAACAACTGTAGTTGAAAACGTTCAATTTTATCGGCTGCGAGTTCAATGAAATGTTTTCGTGACAAATAATCTTGCGATAATCTTCTTTTGTGAGGTGGCCTGGCTTTTTGCTCGTTTTTCTCGTCCATTAGAACAATTTCGACTTTGATGGGAGCTAAATCTGCTTTCGATTCTTCTGGTGTCTTTAAAGCCGGATTTGTTGCACTTGCTGTTTCGCTGATATTGTTGGATTGATGAAGTAATCCATGATTCTCCGTTTCCTTATAGGGTGCCCCCTTTGAGTCCATGGCTCGACGGAGTCTTGATTTCAAATTTGAAAACGTGATTGATCCTACTTGTGTTCTACTGTTCCCCGGGCGCTTGAATATATCTCAAAATATAGTCGTTAAAAGATTTTATATAAATTGCGGTGAGGTCACAAAACTTCTGGTCCGTAAATAGGATGATTCCGGTCCTTCGAAACGGCGAATAACGGTATTTGTGAACAGTCTTATATCGAAGAAATGTCCGATGCTCCTTGATACGCGAAATTATCGCTATTACTTCAGGGAGAGTGTTGAGGCAGTTGTACAATGAGTTAGGTGAATCGGAGGTCGAGATGACTTATCAAGATTAAGATGAGGATTAAGATTGTGATTGTGATTGTTTGTGAAGAGAAGAAGGGAATCTGGGACGAAAGTTCTTCCTTATATAGTTGAAAACTACTGTTAATTAGATCTATTAGTGCTTGAACTGTATTCGTTAGTGCTGTCAAGACTTTTAGACTTCTCGGGAATACATAACCCAGAGTCTACGGTACATGGGGTTGGCATTTTCCTGCCTCGCAATTCAATGCTACAAATTTTTTATCCGGCTGCACGCTTAATTTGATTACATCAATTGATATAGGTAATGACACCTCTTCTCAAAAGCGTAACACCCTATGTCTGCGATTCTCAAACTCGATGTTTATCCAGACCTAAGTCCCTCCTGCTCGAGTGATCAATCGAGCGCTTTAATGTGAAAAGTATCGGCAGGAATCCGAATAATACGGAGTAAGTGATGCATAAGATCGTTCGTTGGTCAACAAAAGGCCATGTCAAACGTCGGTAGATCAAAATTTTCTCCCTTATGAAGAGAAATAGAAGGTCTGCAACAGAAAATTTGTTCCAAAGCATGCTTTCCCATGATACACTGAATTCTGTGAGTAGATGATGCTGTAGGATTAATTCCCATTGTGCCGGACAAATAAAATGGTAGATCTATTGCAGTTGAACCCCAACATCATATTGGTACCCCTTTTGAGACCTTAGTCCATGGGTGTGAAGTTGACAAAAGATTTGTACAGATCCAAGTAATCGGGCCAGCTCAAGGACCGCCGCAACAGTTTAATATTTCAAAATGTATGTCAGGCCCCTTCTGCATATAAATGCAGTAGGTGAGTGATGTTTCGGTACTTTTTATTCCTGAAATTTGTGCAAATCTATGGGTAATCCGAGCGAGTTTTTCAGATCCTCACATGTGCATCATTGTTCAATATACTTCCCGGTTGCTTCATACCTATGGCATTGTGCAGTATTATGTATATAAAGGGTCGTCAAACGGATATAAGCTCTTGTAGATCATGAGCGAGACAAACTTTGAGACTTTTGTGAGATTGATCCAGTTGACCATGAAGTGTCTACCAGGTAAGATTGAATTAGTTATTACCTTCGCTTCGAGATTGGCGAGAGTATCATATCATGCCAACGGAATATCAAAAACATCGTTCTATCATTCAGTCTGCACATTCTTCATCGCGGAATTGTAATTACTGCATGAAAGTAATCCGACCACAGCTAGTTACAACGCTTCACTGGCGCGGCTGCTGGTCCTCTTCGAAAAGCAAGAAATACCACGACACAAAACTCTCCAGCATACATCGGTGCCACGATCGGTAATCTAAGCTTTCATAAGAAATCTATCGATCATGGCTTTTAGCTGCTAATTAGGATATTCTTCGTCCTTCGGTAGATGGAGTGTATTAAGAGTGAAGGAAATTGGACAAGGACAGCTGCATCAGTATGCACTTGGTACTAGTAATCTATTATTGCGTATCAATCTCAACATGTTGATAGTATGAGATAATGTTGGCAATACATACCACAGGCTACTCTCCAGGTGCAGTAATTACAAAGTTCCGAGAGAGACCGAGACTGATCTCATCGCTATGGCCACAAGCAACACGGGGCACCATACACAGGTATCATAATCATCATTAAACTGCTTTAAGACTCTTTTGAATCTCGGTTTCGTGAGCTAGAATTGTGACATCAATGTTGCCATGTTGAAGTTCCTTATCACGCTGAAGTATATGTCTGCTAAAAACCTTCCGTGGGCCAACTTATAATATTCTGATCGATCTTTAACCTCTGCTGGCTTCCGGGACTGCTGCATACAGAAGTGACAGTAGCTTAGCCCTGCAGCGGCTCCATCAATCCTCTACGTGGTCGACGAAGAGCTGACGGCATGCGAGAGTGGACAGACGTCTACTCCCAATCCCCCAACCTTCGATTTCCGCAGGATTCTCCATCAATGGCTGCACTTGAAAACGCCACCATCCAAGTTCAATTAAGAGGCTTCCCCGCCGCACTGTAGACTTCTCAATTATCCTGCGCTATTGATTCCTCCATGCACATATCTTGTAAACAAATCTTGCATACGCTTGGCGGCCATAGAATCACCAAGACGAAATGTCGTAGAAGAGATCTCGATGAAGGTATTGAAGAAGAATAGCGAGATCATCGATGCTGTGATTATCGAGATGGAACAAGGACCAAAACGGCCGATAAAGAAGCTGGAGCGGTATGTCATTCGATCAAACGAATTGTTCCAAGAAATAGGCAATCGGGAAATGCTGCATCTCGTGCGCCAACGTGTATGTGAGGAGTTTTGTGCGTCGTCCGTATGTTGTGATGTTGAACTGTGTTTTCGAGGTGAATTAGCATAAGGGCTGTAAAAAATATATGGGAAAGAGAAGAATTATCCCTTCCGTGAGATGAACATGGTGATACTAGATGGGAGACAGGAGCAAAGATGGCAGAAGAGATGATAAACTACTCACCAACCATGCAGATCCATCACAACTAAATCTCACTCCCCCTCCATATAAAAGAATGGGTAGTAACTAGAAATCTAGTCAGTCCATCCATCCATACATCCAAGAAACGCTATAACAAGACTTCAAAGATAGCAAACCCAATACGTGAATTCAAGCCTCAAGAAAGCAAATAAAACATACCAAAAGACATGGAGGTGACAGCCCCAAACCCTGATACAGAATTAAATGCCTTTGGATTCTATGTGATGGAAATCCGTTTTTACCCTCATGCCTTGGTAGATATGTCGCAGATTCAGCAGTAAACATCCATCACTTCCAATAATCTAGATATGTAAGTAGAACATAAACGATCTTCCCCCTCAGTCAACAAACAAATATGACAACCTAACCAGGAAGCTCCGTAACTAAAGGTAGAACTCATCAACAAAGAGCTGTGCTGCAAATTAGCCAGAGAAGAAAGTAATCACATACCCATTGAAACTCACCATGTAAGGCCTCACCATCCCCATCCCCATCCAGAGTTCCAGAATGTGCAGAAACCCAAAAAAAACAAGAAGTTCAAAGCCTACAATAGCAGAAGCCTTTATCAACCACCTCCCAGAAACAAAAATTCGCATCTCCATCTCTCCAACAAAAGAACCCCGGACCCAGTAAATCAGTGAATCTACCTGTAGCCTACCCAGAATATCCAGCATGGTGTACCATTCTCCCCTCCCACCCATAACAAACCTACCCACAACCTCACAACAAAAACAAATCCACAACCATCCTTTTCTTTTCTCTCAAAGCAACCAAAACAACACAAACATATTCTCAAACAAGTTCCACCTTCTAACCAAGTATCCCCACTCCCCAGCCTTACCTCAAACGTGCTTGAAGACCAAAAACAAGACATCCAAAAAATCAGGCAGACATTTCGAGCTAAGCGACAGAAAAAGGGTCCGGATCTTCCTCATCTATTACTTAACTCTTGAAATTTTTCTTCCTCAGTCCTTCCTCTCCTTTACATCTTCTGTTTTACTTTTTTTTCTTTCACAACTTTGTTCACTACATTATCCACAATCTTTTCAACAACATGGCGTCCTCTGGTATGTAAATCTTCTATTCTGTTCTATTATTTCTATTTCTATCCTATTAGGTCCAAAGGTTCTTTATTATCATGCAATGGTTCAAGTCCAAAACAACAATTGCTTTGATGAATTTAGACCTTTGAGACTTACCTGACAGATAAGATTCCGTTCCATCCTCAAGCTATCGTTCCTACACATAGACCGAGTCTTGGTTGAGCGAAATTCATCAAGTGAAGAGGTTCTTGACCATCAATTTATTGATCCTTGGGATTGAAAGGTTGATCGACGATCAAGAACCTCGAAGCTTACCTGCTTGCTCTTCCATGCTCGTTTGCGGCAAAAGGGTACTCTGTGCTAGAAACGCGCACCCTGAAACTGATGTGTCGATGTCGGCATTCATTGAAATACCAAAATTTCGGGGAGGTCAACTCACGAGCTACTGAACCTGTCACCTCAAAGCCACATACTAACTTCATATTCTATGAACAGATGAGGAGAGCGTTGCCAGCAAGGCAGAAAGCTCGAGTAGCGACGAAAGCTACACCACCGGTAAGAAGTCCCACTTGAATCATGTCCTCACTACCACTGCATGCGCTGACCCTAGACAATCAGCCAGATCTCGATTTGCTAGTTCGGTGCGCTCCGATGACTTGATCAATGGCGATGGCAAGGACATTTATCTCCATCATCATAATGGTCATCTTGCTGACGCCGACTTTTCTACAGATCAACCCTCATGTAGGTATCCTACCTCTCGTTGAGCTTTTGATTGTGCGTACTGACAAGAACAATAGTTGGTCCTCCAACTCCTACCATACCCGAAACTGTTGGTAAGAAATTCCAAACTTCACTATCGTCGCCCCTTCACTTTTGACACCGCTCGACGCATACCACTTGGCAGAATAAACATTCACTTTCTACCATGGCAACAAAACACGCTAGTGCGTTTATGTTTACCTAAATTACCCTCTGCCTCGCAGCCTCTTCTTTCAAAAAATTTCTTTCCTCGATCTGATTAAAATCTTATCTACCCACATTTTTTGATTGTTTAAAAACAATCTTGCATTCCAATAGCTGATATGAATAATTACGAAGAAGAGGAAATTCCTCCATTTTTGCATCAGATGCTCCACCAAAC